AACATAAACTTTTAAAGGGAATATACAACATTTGCAAACATCGAAAAATAAAACTACCAAGTTTTTACGAAATACCTTACTAGGATGTTGGTAAATGACAGTCTCAAGCATCCTGTAAAATTATGGCACCTGGTGTGAAGTCATTTTCAAGAAAATTGTAGTTTTGTGTACACTTCCAACGGTGGTCGGCCGACCACCGTTGGAAAAACCTAACTATTTTTCAACTACTGCTCCAACTTTACACTTTTTTCAGTCCAAATTTTGTTTGCTATTGGTTACATGTTCATGAACGGGTGCAGGCCAGCTAGACTGGTTCCCTTACCTTACAATTTTCCGGCATTTATAAATTGATCCATTTTATCTTTAGTGGAGTCAAGGAACCAGACTACTTGAACATTTTTGTTTTCCTTTGTTTTTCCAGCATTTTCGAACACAAAACTTCAAACATGTCAGTGTAACAATATTTGATCTATTATACTAACCCCTCAAATAGTTCATTTCTGAAAATTACAGCAAAAGCCAATGATGTACATTTCCTTTAATCTTACCAACATCAAAATGAAATAACAGAAAAAACACGCACTCGAAATATTACGTTGCTTTAATACTGCTAAGCTCAATGGGAACATTACATTTGAAATGAATGAATGACTACAAAAATAATCTCTGGCCATCTGTTGTGATTACTGAACACACTGATACTTGAATAATGTATAGGTAATAAACAATTTATATACAACTCGTTAGCTAATATATACACTGATGAAATGGCAGTTCCATATCCGTAGCCATTATTCCAGATGTCAAGAATATCATTGCTCATGAAAACATACATTTGGTTAACACGTTGTTACCATCCGCATATTTATGTGAAGGTCTAGCCAATGCAACTACCAGCAGGTGAGTATTGCTTCCCATAAATTTATGAACCAGAATAAGTAATTTCAATATAGCTTCCTCATATGCATGAACGCAAACAGACGGCTATTCAATCTTTCAATTTCTGAGGAGCAACAATTAGATGATAACGAAATACTGAGCGAAACTTGTTAAATTTTAGTCCATGCTTGAGGCATGGTTATGCGTGCATGGCCAGCTATCTCTTCACTGTACGCACATCAGCAGTGTAATCTTCTTTCTGACGAATACGCTTTCGTCAAGCAGTGCAAACTTCTTCATCTGTTCACTATGACTGTGATTCGTTGAGCAAGGCGCAGTTTTCCCAGCTCCAGCAAAGTGACTTCCAATTGCAGAATAGGAAACTGTGTTTCCATGGTTTCCATCTAGTCGGCCGTCTCTGGATTACAAGTTGCTCCTCTCTCCGGCCTTTATCAACCCTTCTACTCTGACGGATAAGATCTTTTTCGACGTGATCGTCGATTTTCCTGTCGGAGTTGACTGTTTTCCTGTTAAAGCTTGGATATATAGCCTTCCTGCTACTGCCGAGGGAAGATTTATTTCTGGTGGTAGACTTGCTCGATTTCTTGTGTTTGTTTTTCCGATACAGCCTGCACTGAAGTAATATCTTCGACGGGGGCTTGGGTCGGTTCTTTCCTTGTCGTTGGCAGCTTTTCTCTCTCGTGCTGAAGACCATACACGAGACTGTGCAACCTCGTGCCCCGTGGGGCGTTCAGGGGCGGATCCAGGATTTTTTGCGGGGGGGGGGGGGTCCGGGCACCTCAGATATTTATATCCGATTATTGAGGACAGGCGGACCGTGTCAATTACATCAAGGGAATTGTTTCTTTGCTTCACAAACTTACCGACAAACGGACGAAAAGTGTCGTAAAGATTGCTTAGGCTCAAGGGAAAGCGCCCTCTTCGCTGATATGTCCCGGAAATTCTTATGACTCCTTCAATATGAACATGCCCATGGCATACATGTAGTTTACAATAACAGTCCGTCGTATAAAAAGAAACAACAGATCGGGTCAGTGGGTTTTTAAAAAAACAAAACACGCAAGGTCACGGTTAGCTGAGAACCCGGAAACATACACTCGTCCAACCTGTTCTAGCGGGTTTTCTTACAATATTTTGATTGAATCTTTAATACAGTCCAGGATGGGCAAGGCTTGGGAAGTGTTGATCCTAGTGTTGCAGCTCACGACAGCAGTGAGATCATCGCCTACAACTCCCACTCCAGCCACACAACCGATCCCACCTAGCTTCATAGTCATCGTGACAGTCGAAGCCGTGGTTGTCGTTGCCATCGTCAGCGTCATTCTCATCGTGGTGTGCCGCAAGCGGCCAAGCACCGACCATGCCCCTGAGGAAGTGGAAACAGCTGGGAGCTATTTTCCCGTAGGCCTGCCTGGGAAGCGTTGGATGGGTACTGTCTATGACCACATTGTCACTTCTCCGTCCTACCACGGCCCTAGTGTGATACGGGGGACGGTAAACCTCGACCCTATCTATGAGACTAGGATCAAGAGCAACACCGTTTAAGTGATCAGCAATCTACAACCATGTCCACTTCGACTCTGCCTCTTATCGCCGTGTCAGATGTGACAAATTGGGCAGACTGCCTCACACCACCTTATGCAGACCTAAATGTCACTCGTGTAAACAAACATGGGCGGAGACTACAAGGAGCAGTGACATGCCCGCAAATAGTTTCGTTGTAAATACAAAAAAAAACACCAAAAATTATTCAAGTGCGCTCTGAATCCCATCTTCGTTGCTGTATGATCTCCCTCCCTCCCTTTTTAATGAAAAACTGCCACTCTTGGAATCAAAATTCTAAAAAGAAGACGGATAAGAGTCACCACGCAGTTAGTCTATGAATTATTGCGGCATGATTGTGTGGATGCCTTGCGTATGGTTTGGAGTCTCCCATCCCAGATAGTTACCATAAGCCTGCGAAGAATGAGAATCGGCAAGCAGTAGCGTGGCAGGAGAAGATCCAACCTATCCAGAAGACCGCAAAGCAATCGTCGTGAGATTTCTCCACGTATACTTCAGTGTTTCTAAAAAAATGATCATTGATCTACATGACGCCCCCCCCCCCCATGAAATGTTCCAGCCCGGCGCCCCCCCCCCCCCCAGCGCCCCCCCCCCCCCAAACGGAAAAATTCCTGGCTACGCCACTGTATTGTACTATTGTAAAACTATTACAACTATACACGTACAATGTGAAACAACATCGCTAATAGGCCTTACTATACGGTGAATTCAGTAAACACAAAGAATTCGGATCCATCTTGTAACTTCAAGAAGATATAATGCTATAATAATATTCGCTGATTACGAGAGGGGCGAAAAACCCGCGAAAAACCCTTTTAGGAAAAACACGGGGAATTTCCCCACCCGACTCCATTTTATTATGGCAACCAAGTTTGTTAACTCTTTTCATTAGAAGTTGTAATTAACTTTTTAATTAATGGATTTGTTTGTCCGCAATGCAGAGGGGGCGTTTAGAATAACTTGACGTAAGTGATTGGAAAACGTTTCCCCAACAGCTTTTGCTCCATGCTGTCAACAAACAACAACCCACGCTGTATAAATACGAAACTAATTACATTTGATATTTCATATACTTCATTAAGCTAACACATCCATCATTTGGACAAAAGATGGATTTGGTCGTAAAATAGCTGCAAACTGAAAACATTTTAGATGAAAAAAGGAAAGGAAATTGTATATTCTAATGTATGTTTTTATCTTGCTAGTCTCATTTCTTAGTTGGTAAATAATTGATATTTTGTAAGGCTTAGATTTGAAGAAAAATAATTCCTTTTAAACCTGTGTGCATGAAATGTAAAAAGTATACTAATCAGGAATTAAAATGTTAGTTTCATTGTGTTGTCATATTATATTTGTTGACTTTATCTCGCATCTGAATGGATGTTCCATCGTATATTAATCAAACTGAATAACTGTTTTAATACACTTTGTATTTATATGCAAATCACCGGGAACACATAAACTAAATTATAAAATAGTCAATTGTCTTAGGAAATAAATATAAGTTGGCAGTTAAGGCTCACCGTACACTAGATGCTCAGCAGAGTCTGGACAAACTTGAGTCTGTATAGCTTTGGCACTCGAGCCAAGGCGAATCATTCTCTGCCACCGACCCGGGTCAAGACATTCTGGCACTTACTTGTCATCGAGTAGAACCAATTAAGTCAAAATAATTCTCAGACCAGCTGTAACTTTGCTGGTCGAGTCATGTTGTTTGTTGGCACTGACTTCGATTGAGTCGAGTTATTTGTTGGCAGTGTATTGATGTTGAGTTGAGATTCGAGTCAATCCATTTACTGTCACTGACAGTGACTTTGATCAAGTTGACTCCTATTTTTATGAGAAATGCACACATCTTTTTCAAGTTGGACTGAGTCGAGTCGAATCAGGACAAGTTTAGCCTAACCTGGCAAACATAATTATGAGCCAAGTCGAGCCTTTAAGTGTTGGAAACATGCGATTCAAGTCGAGTCATAAAGAGTCAAAATTCAAGCCGAGTTGAGTCAAAATTATATAATTGTCTCGAGTCAAATCTTTTCCTACTTTACTGGCACTAAATCTAATCAAGTTTACGTCATTTGTTGGCATAGGCTTGAATCGAGTCTAGTCTGCTATCGGTTGCATCGATGCCAACTTTGATACCAACTATATATGCAAAAGTCTACCCAAAAAAAAACAACTTTTTAACGAGTTCAAATAGCCTGGCAAAACACCCCAGTATTAAAACAAGGATTGTTAGTAGTTACAGGACTATTTATTAATTTTGTCGGGGTGTGGCGTGCGTGTCTGTTCTATTCAAAAGAAGATTGATGGCGACCTCGCACCCCATTGTAACAAAAATGAAATATAGGTCAAAGCAAATAAAGGAATTGGCCTATAGAACAAAGATGACTCGCTTTCGTGTAATCTAACACGGCAGTTTGACGCCTAGCAATCTAGTCATTTCGGAGTCCGCTTCCTGGTCGCACGCAATAGTTTCCGGACCAGAAAACCAATAAAAGGGGCAGGATGGATGCGGACTTGCATCAGTTGTTGGAGGAGAGTTTCCACGTTCAAACACAGCTAGTCTAATTGCAAGATGAAGGTGTTGCTGATCCTTCTTTTGTTGGTCGGTTCTGCACTGGCCGGGACTGACCAGGGGGTAAGTTCAGATACTAATGTCTGAAAACAAAATCTTAATGTTGGGAATAGTTTTGTTTGGGACAGACAATATTTAAAAAAAAAAAAAAAAAAAAAAAAACTGGTACAGTAAGTGCTCATTTATTGGAATGTCTTGTATCAGACAACCATTGTGTACATTTTTTTTCTTAATAATTTGGGAGGCTGATCATTCTTACTTGCAGCTGGTATGCTGAATTGTGAAGGACGCGGCTACAACGTGGTCGGGCCGCTGGCACGTAAAGGCGCCTATGGCTGCCGGCCACATCGACCCATATATATGACCACGGAGCACAGCCTGAGATCGAAATTGTTATCTCTGAAAGGGAAGAATGTAATAGATCTTTTAAGGTTCAAATAGCGAGACTAGTTTTGCCTTGAGATTCCACTTCCTTTTGCCCAGATAAGGTGCAAGATTGACCATCTTGCGTGGAATGCTTAGAACAAAATCTTTGGCCTGCAACACAAACAAGATACGTGATTATATCATAATGACGCCTGGATTTCACACAAACCATTCTATAAAAGGTGAATTTCTAGCCAACGTCCTTAGTACTTGGAAAAAAAATCGGGTAGAGACTCATAATTCTTTATTTTGCCCTATGATTTTGTACGGTGATCCAGTGTTGTAGTACTCGGACCCGTACTTGGGTACATTTTTTGGTACTCGTACTCTTACTCGTACTCATGAAAATGTCCTCGTGCTTGTACTCGCAAGCAAAAAAATACCCGTACTCGATAGTACTCCTACTCGTAGGCCTACTCATGTTAGAGTACTCGTTAATGTACTCACTCTCTGACAAGGGCGGATCCGGGGGGGGGCGAAGGGGGCCATGCCCCCCCCCCCCCCCCCCCCAAGAAACCATTTTTTTTTTTTTTTTTAATGTGACATCGCAATAAAGGCAGGCAATGAGAACACCACCATCTTTTCCTCAAAAACACATTGGTTAAAGTGGTAAGAAATTGCCTCAGATCGCACCACAGAGCATCTAGAATCCACAAAATTTTCGGGGCCCTTAAGCGGGCCCCGAACCCCACGCCGAATTTTTTTTGACCCACTTTTTGGGGGGACCAAAGGATTTTGGGCCCCCCCCCCAAAAAAAAAAAATTGTGTTCTGGATCCTCCCTTGCTCTCTGAGTGATCCCCGTTTGCTATTTACGAGGTCCGTATAGTGACTTTGGGCGTGATCCCTGGCTGCATGGCATACGGGTTTAAGGCTTCTGACAGCTGCGTCCCTTGAACAAAGAGTTTGAGTAGAGCATTTAGGTAGAGCATGCAACCGAGGTGGCAGGTTCAAGCCCGTTCCAGTCAATTCGCTGTTCAACTTTTCAAGAAATTGTTAAAATTCAGTTTCCATTTGTGCTTCATTTGAGAGCATTAATAAGGTGCATAACAATATTCCACCAGGAGCGAGACGAGTTCACTGGAGAGGCGGTGGACTTCTTTCTGGGCAAGGACAAGATGGCGGCCAAGTTGGAGATGACTCCGTCTGCTAATTGTGTGGAGGGAGACATGGAGATGACTGAGGAACAGAAGGAGGTCTACAACATGATGCGAGAGGTGACGGCCAAGAACAGAGCCCGAGTGCGCCGAGCGGCCACCACCGCCTTCCGACTGTGGCCCGACAAGACTCTCGTTTACAAGTTCGACTCACAACTGAGTGAGTATATAGAGTCACTTTCACTTGGGAGTTGAGAGATTAGTAGTCCAAAACCTTCGTTTTGGCTTGGGCTTCAAGATATTTTAGTCTTCTGACTTGAGGTACTCAACCCTGTTATTTCATGGACGAAAGTAGGCACCAGACGGTTAAGAGTGAAAAAACGACCTATTTTATCTACGGGATAGCAACTTGTTACAACTGATAATGTAATTACCAACCAATAACGTATAATGTAACAACAATTGACCGATACTAACTGATAATGTAATAAGAATTGACCAATAGTGTAGCAAACGTTACTACACAATCAGTTTGTTTTTTTACATTATCGGTTAGGACTGATATCGGTTAGGACTGATAATGTAAAAAATATTGACTGATTGTGTAGTACATGTTACTACTTTATCGATATTTTTTGTTACATTATCGGTTAGTGATACAATATTGGTCAATTGTTACATTATCGGTTAGTGATACAATATCGGTCAATTGTTACATTATCGGTTAGTGGTACAATATCGGTCAATTGTTGTTACATTATCGGTTAGTGATACAATATTGGTCAATTGTTACATTATCGGTTAGTGATACAATATCGGTAATTTGTTACACTATCGGTTAGTGGTACAATATCGGTCAATTGTTGTTACATTATCGGTTAGTGATACAATATCGGTCAATTGTTGTTACATGATCGGTTAGTGATACAGTATCGGTCAATTGTTGTTACAGTTTCGGTTAGTGATATCACTCCATTATCAGTTGTAACAGCTCACCAAATCACCATTACATTTCTCCGTTACAGTCCCTTATAGTTAGTAACATACGTTAACATTGTCTAGTGCTCCTATATATTTTGACCGACTTCAACCAAACTTTGTTAAAAGTATCAGCAGCCAAGCTCCAACGTGTCAAAGACCAAACTGGGGTCAAAGGTCATCATGGGGTCACTGGGGTCAAAAACCTGATTTTAGTTTTTACTCAAAACACTATCTCCCTTCATAAATTACATGGCACAATCACGTGACTCATGCATGAACACGAATTCGTTGGCCAGCAGCCTCCGAGATGTTTCCGATCGAGCTTGTTATAATCTGAAGATGAATAACTTCAGTCGCAACTCGTGTGAAATCTTGATCATTTCGATGGAAGGATTTTACTCTAAATTGTCTTGAATGTATACGTTTCTGTGAGTTGGGTGGGAGTGTTCACTCTTTTGAGAAAAAAAAAACAAGAAGTGTTTTTCTGCTCCGTGAATAATCAAGTACATACGAGATCAACCGAGTAAGCGTGTCAAAATTGTTGTTCGTAAGCTCTCGGAAACGCACTATACAGTGTTTATAAAAACCATTAGTACATCGGTGAAGGGCAAAACCCGATGCTTAAACGAGATCAGCGTTTAGTCGAATTGGCATTTAGCTTGAAGTGACATTCAGATTTGTCACAAGTTTAATTCACAAGTGACAGTCAGTCGGTCAGTTAGTCAGTCGGGGAGTCAGTCATGAGTCAGTGAATTGGGTATAAAGAGTATACTAGGCTGGCCCTCTTGAGTCAGCAAAAATGGAAGGAGTATAGACTCGACTATATGAAACAAGTTCAGTCTATGGACTTTATTCACGAGTTGGCCATGCTAAATTGAAAGGCGAGGTCAAATTACAAATTAATAGCAGTCTGCTCTGATGAATGATTTAAAATGTGTGATTTAAACATGCCACATTTTAAGCCACATTTTAAAAAAAAAACTTGAAAGTGAGGCTAGAATGCAAAAATAGTCTGGCACCATCCCGTACAACAGTTCACAATTTATACAATACATTCAGGGAACACGACCAAAATGGCTTCCTCGTGGATATAAGGTCCATTATCTCCATCCATTTTTATTGACACCAATTAAGACATGGTGTAAAATCGCGAAGTAATTCCCACCGGTTCTTAAACGTACTGGTGCAATCACTAACGTACTGTGATTGATGACTTCGCCATGCAGGCCTTCAAATCTCATATCTGGTCAATTAATTATTATATTTTTTGTCGAAGGTAAGACAATGAAAACAAAGTTCGAAGAAGCCGTCGCTCTGTACCGGGAAACGACGTGCATCAAGTTCGTTGAGGCTAAAGATGGCTACTCTGGAGACGTCAGACCGATCAATATCAAGGGAACCGGCAATGGGTAAGACTTACAAAGATTTGAACGATGGGAAGAAGACTAAGCATTGACATGAAACCGTCTAACAGCGAAAAACGGAGGTCATCGTGCGACCGTGCGGCACTCATCAGTGGGGATGTTCATTTTCACCCTCGGTTACATAATACGACTCGTTTTTTGCATGTTACAGAAGGTCACTGCACTTTGCAGTATGTTGAATATTTTCTATAGCCACCCAAACAACAAGTGGTCTTATTGCGGCTGTTTGGGGGTAATATATCTCAACTGGGGGGGGGGGGGGACACCAAAAAGAGGCACTTGCTCAGTAAAAGGCGTCTTCCGTCGGTGCAGCAGCGTATCCGACATTTCTTCTTCTTCTTTTTTTGCACATCCGTGCTGAAATGTCGACACTTTTTTTCACCGGACACTTACAACCTCCGTAAAATCAAATGGTGGGGGGATCTGGTACCATCTTCCAAAATAGGGGCGCTCTTCAAAACCGGTCATTATGCAAAACTACGCATTATGTGCACATTTTCAGGGCGCATTGTAAGGGTTCTAGGGCTTGGTTTAATTATTCCTTTTTCATATCAGAACTCTCTATACCATTTTGGAAAATGGTTACTGAAAACAAATTATCCGAAATATAGGACCAGTTTTGTTTTCATCTCGAGACTGTACATGTCCGCAAGAGGGGTACTTTGGTAAATCTTGGGGGGGGGGGGAGGCAGTGCCCGCTTGTTATCCCCTTCCAGCCAATTTCTTCAAGTCTTTTTTTTTTAAATACTATATCGATATCGGAGTTTTATACTGAAATTTGCTTCGAATTTGTGTCAAGGTGCTACTCGACAGTTGGTGGACCAGGCGGAAATCTCAACTTACAGGAAAGCCGATGCGATCACGTAAGTTGCAAAATATTATTGTTTGAAACTTCGTGCAAAAAATGTAGGCGTACGTGGTTCAACTGATGGGAGTTTGAATCTGAATCTTTACTTCTTTCTTTCTTGTTGATGTCCGTTCAGCTCGGGGTTTGCCTTCACGAGATAGGCCACGCCCTCGGCGTCTACCACGAACAAACCCGCTCGGATCGCGGCGACCACGTCACCATCAACGAGAAGAACATCAGGAAAGGATACGGCAACAATTTCAAGATGGTGGACCGGCCGCTGCTCGCCCCGTATGATCTGCAGTCTATCATGCATTACTCGTGTGATGTAAGTGCACGCAAGCCGCTTTTTTTGTAGACTTTTTCGATATACACATTAGTTGCTCACCAGTTTCAACCACAGCTCTACTATGCCGGTTTGAACTTAGGCTGGTCGACGACGGTTGGACCAGCCTACACCAATGATGACCGTCGCATTGCTGGTATTAATAAGCCTCTGTACTGATGACGTCACACTTTGTTAACATGTGCACTTTCCTATGGAGCCAGTGGTGGCCCACGGTCTACTGAGCACCATAGGAAAGCGCACACGTAAACAAAGCGTGACGTCATCAGTACAGAAGCTTATTCAATGGCCGCGCGCGTCATTCAAAATGCACAACACTGAGCATGTCTAGACCGGGAAGCGTCCCGTTGTTCCATTGTTGCTATATTACTTACATGTACTGCGCAGACGTAGTTTACGTCACGAATAAACCCCTTACTACGTCTCATTTTCGTTAATAAACGAAATATTTTATCTAGGAAATCTTTTAATATACTTAAATGTGCATGATCTACATGTTCCTGTAGGCTTTCAGCAAAGATGGCCGCTCGGAAACCATCGTTCCTCAAGATTCTTCGGTGAAGGAGAAGATGGGATTACAGAGGAGACTTTCCCGACTGGACATCTACAAGTTTAACCTGATGTACGGCTGCTACGGTGAGGCCAAATTCCACTGTTCCTTAGTGAAAACATATTTGAAACTCAAGTTAAAGTTTATATTTGAAACCACAATACACCGGAACAAATTCTAAAGATATGCTCTCACACGAATTTTAGCCCGTAGGTAGACAACAGCTAGTCTATGCAATAGACCATGGCAAAACCATGGTCCATTACATTTGAATAGGTTCGCTCATGCAAGACAACCGCATCTTGACCTCTAGATTTTGACCAATCAGCGGGCGCTTTCTTTACCGGGTCTTCGATCATTCACCCTACGTTGCGCGTCGTAGACATGGATAAAAAAAACCTGTGTCACGCGCCTGTATCATGTTACGCAATATGCGCCCTGCTGTTGTATTACATAACACTGCATTCAAATTGACCACTAGTCCTGATTTGGGAATGAAATGACGTCACGCATGCAAGATTCAGTACGATACACGCCCGAACGCCCGCAGCATGTGATTCACTGGTCGAACGTGTGTGACTGAAAATACAATTTTTGACAGTTACACATTTTTTATAGTCACAATTTTGAACCCTGAAATTAGTTCTCGAAAGAATAACACAAAAACGGCATGGTTGTGCGGACGTTTATATTCTACTTTTAAATGCTCTTTCCAATTAATAGCCTTTCATTTAAAATGCGTTTCGTATACCAATCGGGCACACTCCAGGACTTATAGTGTGGACGTAAGGTGAATCCAAGGGGAGTCCAACAGGGGCCATGGCCAGTGCTACTCGTACCCTTCCCTCGCAGATTTGTGAAAATATAAATTTAAAAAGAGAGATAGAAAAAATGGGGAAGCGCCCCTTACGTCATAATATAAGCCCCAGCTTTTTGAATTTTCAACCTCCACCCCACCCCAGCATTGGCTACTCCAGACCCATCGAGTTGGGGCGTAAAGAAAGTAAAAATGTCTCAATGTCGCCATCTTGTCTTACTGAAGAGGGCTGCCCCGAGGACCTGAAGGATAAGTGTCAACATGGCGGCGTGCCGTCCAAGGAATGCACCTGCGTTTGTCCGGAGGAATACAAGGGACCTTACTGTGAGATCTTCAACGCCGAGACTGGTAAGGACACCGACGGTTACACCACGGCTTGCTTGTTTTTAGAAAAACAGACGGTTTCCTGTAGATGGTCGCATAATCGCATGAAACTGCTCAAAGTAGCGAACCATACCCTAAAGTTTGTCGGTAGAAATTATTCACACTGCAGAAACTGCAGTGTTGAATTTACACTGTTGGTATCTATATAGGACCATCTGGTGTTAAATTTTACTGGTGTTGTCCTATATAGATACCGAATGGTGTTAAATTGACACTACAGTTTTTGCAGTGCAGTGTAAACTGCTTCTCACGAAATCGTTTCGTAAACATTGACTTTAGGCACGGGTTGTTTTCATTAAATTCTCTGAATTTACTTCTCAAACAGTCTTGCCTGGATCTCAGAAAAGAGACCGTCTCGCATAGATCGCAACACATCTGTCAAAAGAAAACATGAATTTAACTTCAGGTGGAGTCAAAATTGCCCACTCTCTGCAACTGCTTTCGGTTGCTCGTGTAATAGTCCATTAATGGGTTAACAAAGAACTACGTTTAATCTAAACTACGTTTAGAGAGGCCTTATCAATTGAATGTTGTCGTTTTTTTTTAGTTTTTAAAACAAAAGTTGGATTTAACCTTTACGAAAGGAATTGCTATTGACCCTTATTACATGATATTAATTTGATCTCTCAATAAAATGGTTCAGCTTGCAGTGCGCTGTTCACGGACACGTCAGGGGTAATCCAGAGCCCGGGCTACCCTGCAAGATACCCCAGCAACACCGAGTGTGTCTACGCCATCGAGGTAGGCTCATAACTCAGCATCCAAAATGCAGCATAGTCGCTAAATTCGACTCGTGTGCCGCGGTACATGGGTTCGAATCCTGACCGTGGGAACATGGTGCTTTGTGCTCTTAAGGCACTTTACCAGTATTGCTTCGTCCTTTGGATGGGACGTAAAGCCGTAGGTCCCGTGTGTTGTGTAATGCACCTTAAAGAACCTAGTAACACGTATCGCTAAGAGAAGGGGTTTGCCCCGGTGTTTCTGGCAGTGGCTGCAATATGCGCTGCAGCACCTTGAAAACCCTGTATAAGGTGCTACATAATGGGTCTCATATTTCTCATAGACTTCATTTACCTGTCTTTAATAATAGACATAATTTCCAGTGCCTTGAGTACCTAATTGTTGGTAGGTACGTGCGCTATATAAGACTCCGGTATTAGTATTATTAAATAGTAAGTACTCATTTTTCAAACATTATTTCACACATCAATCGAAATGGATGGGCGGGGGCAAGTTATGAGGTCATTCGAAAGAACCTGGTATGTACCCTCGTTTGTGCTAATTGTAAATTGGTATTGGGAAAAAAATCGCTTGAACAAACAAAATCAAAGTACCTTTTGACCCACTTTTTGAAATAAAAAAACAAACAGAGGATGCTCTCACTTAACATCAGAAGACAGTTGTTTACCGACATTTCCCATTAAAAAAAAGTTTAAGAAATTGAAAGTGGAGATTCGAGATGTACATGTAAATTCATGAACTTCCACTTTAGGCTTTCGGAGAAGCGGTAAAAACCAACTCATATACCGATTTATGAGAACAGTACAATAAGTTATAAAGTAAGTTTTAGAAGTATTAATGTCAATGTTGTATAGTTCCTTCCAGTGATACAGACGGGCCTTTTTTTTCCCATTCATCTTGTACAGTGTCCTGTCGGTATGACCGTCCATCTGGACTTCACTGACTTCGACGTTGAAGGATACGGATGCTTCTATGACATCTTTGAAACGAAAACCGGTGACATCATCGATGAGATATACCCTGACGAGTGAGTCACATTTATGTACAATTCAGAGTGCATTTTGGACTTAACAAAATAATTGGATCTATACGGATAACAATCATTGCTGGATATGTTGACCGTTTCGTTTAGGAAAATGTCCCACTACCTAACAACCCCTGAACGGAGACTCAACTTGAATGGCATTATCGTATTCATAATCTCTCTTTAAGGGGGAGAATTTGATTCACTGTGGGACCTGGGGGTAGAAGGGATGTTTCTGAATTCGTGTTTTTGTTAAGGTTTATTTTATTTTGTAAAGTTGGAAACAAATTGCTGTCAAATCTGACCGTGCAGTTGCCTGTCGACGCAACGAAGCGAGTTTTTTTTCTATCCAGTAAGTCCAAAATTAAGACTTGTTTTGTTATTTTTACTTACTTTGCTTTGACCAACAGGTACTGTGACCGGGAACTGAAAGGTGTCGCCAAACACTCCAAAACAAACCTGGCCCTGATGAAGTTCAAGAGCGACTACATGTTCAACTACAAAGGATTCCAAGTCGAGTATCGTTGCGAGTAAATCCACGACAGACATCACCTGAGTGGCAGTATACAACACGAGGATTCTTATGTAAACGACGATTGAGAAAACAGATGCGCTAGATTCAAGACTAAAGATTTTAGTTTAGTGCAGTTGCTTTTGTAGAGCTAATTATCGTTGCTTAGTAGAGACATTTAAGCACGCTTGATCAACATCTTTAATGTTAGAAGCAAGCAAGTCACCACCAATAAATTGATTTATAATCGTTGAAACTTTAATTGACACCAAAAATTGGTGTCTTTTTATGAACAAGCTATACATGCTTGCAGGCTGGTCGGGGAATGGGTTAGTGCATTTTTCTTAACTTCATCTCCCAAAACGATCCGAAAAAATGCTGTGTTTTGTGAGAGTAGCGTTATACAACTTTACAAAGTGTTCAAAGACTGTACAATTTTTTTTGGGGGGGGGGTCAAATAATATGTGATTATCAATAGCTAAGGCGCAAGCAATACAATAGCAGGTGTAAGTAAAACAACCACTATCATGACACTGTGAATAGTTTGTTTTAATGCAATGGGCCAACACAGCACAGAACCAAACTTTCACTATCTTCTTTCAACCATAGTTCTGATTCTGGTCAGCAAAGGACATTTCCTTCAGAAAAGAAAATGAACAAAATTCATCTCTTTGTAGACAACGTGCGGGGGAGAAACTGGGGAACAACAGAAAAAAGAGGGGGGGGCAAATGTCTTCACCCCCCCCCCCCCCCCGCACCACTGAGCACAGATCAAAAAACTTGATATAGAACCATCCTTTTTTTTGGTAAAATATTTTGGCGATGTTTCCCGCCCGAAGAATAATCCTGAAGCCAAAACTTGAGGTCCTGCATTATGAAAAAAAGTTCTTTCCATTTCAAGTAGGGAGATACTTCGGTCAAAAACCATGCCAGCCCTGTTAAGAAATTGCTTGATAAATTCACTTTATGTAAACTGAATAATGTCTTAGAACGTTCTAGGACAAATAGATTGATTTTGATCGGTGAAAGCTATTCTGGGCCTTTTTTTTTAAAAACCCAGTTGCAAACCTTGAAGTTGCATTTTCTTTAATCTTGCTTGACCTTAAAAGCAGAGAGATGAATTCATCTGCCTTAATTTCAGTTGATGGAATCAGTAATAAGCCCCGATAATTACAGTTGTGGAATTATTGATTAATCTCATTGTAAAGAGTTGCTTTGCTTTGCAAAAATAAACAAACACATCAAGAAAGAATCTGTTCATGACCTCTTTACTCTGCCTGACCTGAGATTCATCAAAAATAGTCAGAACCAGACGAATGAATTTTTAGTACCTTACATTTACTCTCTAAATTCCAAAGAGTGATTATTCACTCCATTTGAGTGAAGATTCACTCCCACAGTCGGAAACTAGGGACGGGACGTTTTGGAGTGAAATTCCTTCAATCGAAACGATCGAGTTTTTTACTCGAGCTTCGACTGAAATGGTTCTTTTTTTTCAGACTTTTTTAATCTACTAAGTAAAATGAGAGTGATTTTCACTCTAAAACGTCTAGTCCCTAATTTCACTCTTTGGAATTTAGAGAGTATGACCGTCTTTGGACCGTTCATACCAGGTTTTATGATCACCCCGTCCACCGTTTGGAAAAAAAAAATCTTGGTTTGTTTTAATTTGAGGCTCATTTCTATATTTTAATTCACCTAACTTTGACCTTCCGGTAGCCCCGGAAGGAAAGGTCAAACGATTTTGACATCGGTAATCACAATATTATGGTGTATCAGATCACAAAGTATGAACGTGATCGTTCATTTTGTTAATGAGGTCTAAATTGACCTAAACGATCGCTTGTAATTTGATACCTATGACGTCATTATGACGTCAAGTAAATATGCACCACTCGTACCCAATCACCCAAAAAGAAAGAAAGATGAAGAGAAAAGAAGATTTCATAGTTGTCATTGGAAAAGAGTGATTAGGTCGTATACCTGATCACCCAATAAAGAAGACTAATTGCTACCTTTTCAAAACAGTGATCGGTTTATGCCCGCTCACTCTATGGGCATTATTCACAAGTTCACCATTTTTGTCGAGTTCCCTGAATGCATTTCATTAATCGTTAACTGTAGGACGGGATGGCGCCTGACTATATTTATGCAGGCACAATAAAGCCTGCTATTTTACTGTGGGTTTTTTTTAATCTGGCTTTAAACATTAGGGAATGTCTAATTACAAATTTTAAATTATGTATTGAAGCAGAGTGAATTTAATTTAAAATTAAATTAATTTCATGTCTCTTCGCTAGTTCCAAAAGGTAAGATATTACCTCACTTTCAGTTCAATATGGCCGACTGGTGAATAAGGCCCATAAACACTAGGTGTCTGTTACCACGACGGTTACAGTCCGATAGTCCGTATGGTTCGATAGTCCGAAGGGTCATTACTCCGAAGGTTCGTAAGTCCAAAGGTTCAATAGTCCGATGATTTGATAGTCCGAAGGGCCCATTAGTCCAAAAATAGAATAAGTTTAATTAAGTCGAAGGTTCGATCGTCTGAATCGACGATAGGGTTCGATAGCCCGAATCGACAATAAGGTTTGATAGTCCGAATAGATGATAAGGTTTGATAGTCCGAATATACGGTAGGGTTAATTAGTCCAAATGGACATTAAGGTTCGATAGTCCGAATTGAGACTAAAGTTCGATGGTCAGAATGTGCAATACGGTTCGTCAGTCTGACACTTCGGACTATCGGACCATACTGGGCCCAATTTCTCAGCGCTGCTAAGCAAAAAAAATTGCTTAGCACAAAAGGCCTGGCTTATAAAAGCAGTTTACCAGCAAATACTCAATGTGATTTTCATGCTATAGCAAACAACATCTGAATACTAATCATGAGCAATATAAATCACATGGAGTTTTGGCTGATAACCTGCTTTTATAAGCCGGACTTTTTTGTGCTTAAAGTCTTATAGTCTTTTCGGACTATCAAACCTTTTTGTCAATTCGGAATAATTAACCTTCCGACTATTGAACCTTATTTTCGTTTCGGACTGTTTAACCTTTGGATTGATTAACCTCATTCTAAATTCGGACTACCGAACCTTCGGATTATTGAACCGCTTGGACTAAAGAACCTTCGGATTAATGAACCTTCGGACTATTGCATCAAATGTTCGGATTGACGAACCTTATTTCGTTTTCGGACTAACGAACCCCTCTTATGGAAGTTTCGTGCATTCGGATTATCAACCTTCGGACTAAAGAAAAATGTGCGACATCGCAGAAATCTGCGCAGAAATCCCCGATTAATGTGCAACAATCGCAAAAATCTGCGCAGAAATATACGATAATTTGTGCGACATTGCAGAAATGTGCACAGATTTCTGCAATAAATTGTGCAATACCGCAGAAATAGGCGCAAAAATGTGCAATAAACTGTGCGATATCGCAGAAATCTGCGCAGAAAATGTTTGGAAAAAATGTGCGACATCGCAGAAATCTGCACAGAAATCTCGATGTGTGATGTCCCTTGAGGGCCACCATAGTTTCCCCTCCGCAGTATAATCATGTCATAAATGTTGTCGTAGTCGCGATCTCACTGCATGTGAAATAAAATGCACACGTGCTGAACCATAATACTGGCCCCCAGTCATTTGCTTTTCAAACCGCGGCGAATTTGGTTTCGCCGTGGGGTGGCGAATTTGCTTTTGCCGTGGCGAATTTGCTTTTGCCGTGGCGAATTTGCTGTTGCCGTGGCGAATTTGCTGTTGCCGTGACAGTTGTGGGCCACCGTAACCTTCGGACCTTTTGACTATCGGGCGGCCCCCGTGACGTACAATATAGCGTGAAATTTAAACTCTATGAAATACAGACTCATTGGTTGTACTGCGCATGCCTTATATAGTCAGTCACGTGTGAGAGCTGGGGTCCATAGAGTAAAAGAGACTACATTTCATGGGAGGCTAAATTTCACGAGAGAACATAGGGGCTTAAGCTAACAACTTTTATCAATCAAAAAATGAGATCTTACATAAACAGGATTCGAAATGTTTTTCAGGAGGACACGGTCCGATAACAACACAATTCACCATACACGGTGCATTGTTCTGCCTTATCGTGATAAGGACGACAAGAGACAAAAAAGTACCAGCATTTTTGTACTCCATTACTCAACAATGACAGCGCAGTCAAAAGGGTGAGAAGGAAGTTATCCCGATAGTGAAACACCAATTTCCGGCTGGTATCATTAAACGACTATTTTCTACCGAACGGCTCCGCCCGCGTTACTTCTGAACTTGGGGTTTCAAGAGGACGTTTCCTTGGCGCGTCTTCCTTTACTCACATTAACAGAATTACAATCTGCATTATTGGAGCCAGTGTCGCGCGGCAATAAGTCTGGTTGTGAATTGCAATCACGAGAAGGCAAGTAGTTAAATTCATAAATATTTCATTTATTTTCAGTCACAATGTGTCGAAAGGAACAAGGAAAAATTGCCTGGGTTAATTTCACACAAACAAGGGTGACAACTACGACTACCCAAAATTGGGTTGTCCATTACCCATTGTTCGTGTTATAATATCTGTCAAATTCAACCAAAACTTGTGGTCGTACAAGACTAAATTAAATTCAGTCTGGTATCACCACAAGTTTTGGTTGAATTTATCAGAAGTTGTAACCCAAATGGTTGGGTTAAGGACAACCTCATTTTGGGTAGTTCTTCAGTTTTCACCCTTGCTTGGGTAAAATTAAACCAGGCAATTTTTCAGTGAAGAGAAAATGAAATAGACTTTCAGGGACAAGTATATATACGTTACAGTCTCATGCAAGTGAGCCTTATGTCATCCCAACAATGAACTTTCGCACAAATTTTGCATGCGATGTCACCAATTTACAGTTAATATTTGTGGGGCACTGTGGTCCAATGGTTACGGTGTTCGACTCGTGTGCCGTGGTACATAGGTCCGAATTCTGACAGTGGGAACATGGTGCTTGTGCTCCTGAGCAAGGCACTTTACAAGTATTGCTTCGTCCTTCGGATGGGACGTAAAGCCGTAGGTCCCGTGTGTCGTGTAATGCACGTTAAAGATGACACACTTGTCGCTAAGAGAAGGGGTTTGCCCCGGTGTTTCTGGCATTGGCAGCAGTATGCGCCGCAGCACCTAGCAAAAAGGTGCTACATATTGGGTCTCATATGTTCATATACTTCATTTACCTGTCTTTGGCTGCATTCTCCCACAGCGCTTTGTATCCTTTGGAAAAGGTGCTATATTGTTATTATTATTATTATATTTGTATTTTCTCCCCGCAGAACCATAATTCAACATCGCAGCATGCCCGTACTCGAGATACACACTAGCCTCAGTGCTGACGTCTTTGCGTCGGATTTCCATGTCAAATTGGTGGAGGTGGCCGCCTCCATTTTTAACCGCCCGCAAAACGTAGGTACCGAAAAGATATATCCTTAAGTGAATTGAATAACTATTGCCCCAAGTCCTACGGATGAACTTCATAATTAAGGCGATGACGTGCAAACCCGGGGATGTTTGCAAAATAATGTTGCTCCCAACTGAAAAAAAAAAATCCTAGATGCTTGGAAAGATATAAACGGACATCTATAAACCGACTTCGTTTTTTTCTTTAGGTCCTACGCAAATAAAACTGCACCTCTGAACAGCTCTGATGACTGAGGTGCGCCAGGCCCACATCCCCTATAGCCAGGCGCGTACGCAGGGGGGGTGTTTTGGCTGTTAAACACCCCCCTTTGCCATGTAAAAATATGGAGGGAAAAGAGAGTTATGTGACCGAGCGCGGAACAATTACAAATTATGTGCATGTTCTCAACTTTAAGCTTTGAATACAGAAAACACTTCATAGGAGCAAGAGTATATAGGCCTATATGTATTTGAAACAAATGAAACAAAATATCCCCTCATAATTTAAAAAACTTCTGCTAAAAAAAAACAGGGGAAAGTGGCCAGGAAACGCCTCAGATTGCACCACAGAGCATCTACGATCCAAAATTTCCCGGGGCCCTTAAGCGGGCCCCGGACCCCACGCCGTAAGTGCTTCGCGCTCCGCGCTCGCATTGGTCCTCCGGCCAAATTCCTTCTATGCTATAATTTCACCCTAGCGGTGCCCCCACCATTTTGTACCTTCAGCAGTGAATTGCTCTACAAGTGGCCTAAATCCCTTTCCAAAATAGAAAATTGTGAAAAAATACGGATATGAACATGGTTCTCAACTTTGAGTACATAGCAAACTTTATAAACAACAACAAAAAATAACAAATTTTAATGGAATTTTCGATGTTTAAAACGTTTTCTAAACGGTGGAAGTGGCCAGGAATCGCCTCAGATTGCACCACAGAGCATCTAAAATCCCAATTTTTCCGGGGCCCTTAAGCGGGCCCCGGACCCCACGCCGTAAGGGCTTCGCAGGTCCTGGACCCTTCATTACAATAATTCTAGGCCCCCCGGCAAATGGCAGTCTGAATCCGCTCCTGTGACCAGAGCGCATATGTATCCTGTATCTGAAGTTTGGCCTTAGGGGTGGGGGCGGTTTACACAAAGATTCCCAACGGATGAGAATCATGAGATCCAGGGGACGAAGCTGAGTAATTTTAGCCAATTACAAGAACAGATCATAGCACTTCCGCAGCCCGTGTCACTTTTGTTCTTGAATTTCTTCTTTTGTTTTTGTTTAAATGCTGTTGGGGGGGGGGACTGCCCACATTGACCCCTTTACTCATGTTCATCATATACTCTAAAGACACAGAACATTTTTTCCCGATTTACTATGCTTTAGCTCAAAAAGATAACTGATGGTCGTGGGTTCCCGGCCCTTCGAGTTTAACCCGTCCAAATATACCCTCTTTTATTTCTGGCGCCAACACAAACTCCTGACTTTTATTTTAGCGTTAAGTTTAGCCCACTGATACTATCTTTTATTTCTGGCGCCAACACAATTTACCATCTTCATTTCTAGCGTCATAAATGACGACATCCAATTTTGAAACACCCCCCTTGAAAAAATCCTGCGTACGCCACTGCCTATAGCGGTGTAACTTTGGTCCTACTTACAGGGTTGTTCCTATAGGGGCGTCATCTGGCGGACAAGGCACTCAGTTTTAGGCACTTCGCAATTATGTTGTAGCTTGTGTCACTGTATAGCGCCATGAGCGTCACTGAGTGATGGACCTGTTGCGCTTAATAACATGCCACTTTACGACTTATACATTTTGGAGACACGTTATCTTCATTCTTTCGAACATAGCTAGGCAGACACCGGTCATTAGGGAGACATTTTGATGCCTCACAGCCCCCCCCCCCCCCCCTTCAGAGGCAACATTTTAGTGTCGCAATTTGTTGCTCGTGTTCCATACCGAAACTCGTGCGGCAAAAAAGGATAAGGGAATATTTGGTTAGGGCACATTGAAGTTTGAAAAATTGTGTGCACAAGCGGCAGCCTATGGGAATGTCTCTCAAAATGTCCAATCCAATAGTTACGCCACTACCCTGGTTTCCTATTATACACACCACCCCTTTCGCACCACACCCACGCGTGAGCTTGACTGTTACAAACCGAGTCAATAGAGAGAAATTTAAGGTGGAAATGTTTTTCTCCAATTATGTTGAATGATAGGTTATGGTGGTGGCACTGTCGACCGATGAGAGGTTGTACGCAGGCGCGGAGGGCTCGGATCCCGTGTTCCTCCTGCGGGTCTCCAATGCCGACGCATTTCAAGATGTTGACGAAAACCGCAAAATCATCAAGGCATTTTCCGACTTCTTGACTGAAAAGATGGCTGTCCCTGAAAACAGGTTTGTTGTGCATAATTTATACATTACAGCCATGGGCGTCGCGAGGGGGGGGGGCGCAAAGGGGGCGCTTGCCCCCCCCCCCCCCCCCCCGGCAAAAAAAGGAAGGAAACAAAAGAGAAAAAAGTAAAGAAAAAGAGGCCTGAAGTCATATTGGTGTAAATTTAATGGGTTAGGGGGGGAAATGTCCTTGCCCCCCTCTAAAGCTGATAAATCGAGAATATGTTGAGAAATACAGGATTTTTTTGGGAAAAATGTGTTTTTCCCCTCTAGAAGAAGTCCTGGCGACGCCCATATACAGCCAACTCTTCAGGATCCTTTAAAATGCATCAAAGCGACCTGGATAGTTTTGTGTTCACTAGCAGTATACTGCCCTATACTGAACCCGGGCCTAGGATCTTCAAAATTTCCCACATAGGTGAAAGTCATCGTTTAGATCGACTCTTCCGCCTTTTATAATAAATTCAGTTCTATATGGTTCAAAACATCAACAACTATTTTTTTTTTTGCATTACTAATTAGTTAGTCAAATATTAAAGGCACTTTTTCAGGACTAAATATAATTAGTCAAAACCCATACATGACAAACAATCAATTAGTCAAATAAGACACTGTGCATGACTATTGGGTTTTTTTCTGATAATTGACTGAAGAAATTTCTCAGTGTTCACTTTCCATCCATTTTTTTTTATATTGTTTTAAAATTACTTCATGCATTATTGTAGTTACACCGACAAACGTCGATTGATAGACTGAGCTTAATTATGTTACAATAGTTACATATTTAATATTGATTTTTTTTTGGAGAAAACCTTTTCGTTTTTAAAAAAACCGTTTTTAAATTTAAAAAAAATTAAGATTAAAATAAGGGATGTAGAAAGACAAAAAAATACGTCCGTATTCTCCAAGGGAAAAGTAATGGGATATAAAAACAATAATTGTAAATTCCAATAAAACAATATAAACTCCAATATATAGGACTGGGCTCTCGGATTCCCCGGCCCGCCAGACCTGTCCATCCATATAACAAGGGTACAGCACCATAAATGGGAGGAAACGAGGCGGCACCTAAGCCTTGGTGCCGAAAACAGCAAAAGAGCCTCGCACCTTTTCGAAGATACTGAACTTCGTGGACAGTGCCAACTGTTGAGCTAACGGCCCCCCCCCCCCCCCCCATGTTCACAAGAAATCGTCACCGCTGACATTGGTTCGAGCGACTACCTCAGGAAAGTCGACTGAAAAGGCTTGTTTTGAGTGAAGCCTTCCGCATTCCTTTGGCCCAGAGCCTCACTCCCTCATACTCACTCATCCGCATAGACAGCATATAGTTCCATCGCGCCGATCTCCTGTGCCCGCGTCCTACAGCCTCATTCCACATGCAGTCAATCTGGCTAGGCCGTCTGATAGAGTTGTTCCGACCAAGATGATCTTGGCCGGCCACGGGGTCTCTTCCAGCCGGGAGTTGGCCGTGGACCACTCCTGGAATTGATGGCGATGCCCAGAGACTCCCACAGCTTTTATCCGGTCTTGGATTTTACAGCCGTTATATATAATTGAATCAAGTGTTTCTCATTTGTTTATCGTTTGACTTTTCAGCATTCGTATCATCCTGGTCAGCTGCCCTTCCACTTGCATCGGACTTAAAGGAGTCTTGCTGGCCGATGTCATCCAAGAACGTCAGAAGGCGAGAGAAACTGAACAAGAGCAAGAAAAAGCCGACAACCCAAACCCGGTCTAGCCACATTTTATTACTTTAGATGGAAATCACTGAGTGAAGTATACTTTATGGGCAGTTAAACAGTCTTTGGTGTTTCTAGGAAACTTTGTAAACCTTTGAAATAAGGAGAGCTTCAAATTGGATCGGCGACGTAGTACACATGGGATTTATGAGGGATTAGAGTATAGAATCACATGCTGTCAAAATATCCATTATAGTTTTCTTAGATCAGTTTTCTCCAAATGTTGTCTTCAACCAAAACGTTGCTTCTCAACAACTGAAAATTCTCTTCCTTTGAATTTTTTTGGGGGGTAAATCCCCCATGCTTTTACCTTTAAGAAATAATGAATCAAAATAATTCGATGTCTATATCCATTTAAATAACACCAATATCTAAACGGAATGTACATTAATTAAATATTGTATTGATCCAAAATCGTAGGCCTAATTATGACAAAAACAAGATTTATTGTAAAAAAAATATTAAAAATATAATATGTAAAAGCTGAAGCAAAAGTGCGAAATGCTTAAATTAAGTCATAAATAATACCACACCGCTCGCCGTCTGTCAATTTCGTTTAAATTACCTTTGTAAAGTAATTTTGTAGTCTATATCATGTTCCAAATATATTAAGACGTCAATCAAAAATGGGGAACCGTCTGAAAACGGCATCCAATCGCATCGCGTTTAACCCAGTCCACGAGACATGCAGTGCAACTGTCAGCCAATCGCATGCTTCCTTTCATTTTTTTCAAATGTCAAGCGTGTTTGCTGAATATTCCTATGGCAATTCATCTGGTTTTTGTCTAATTCGTGGAGTTCCAAGTCACGGTACAACACCGAAATTTGGTTGAAACATCATCAGATTATTAAACCAGAAACGTGCTTCAGCTTCGAAAGAGGTGAAAGACAGCCCGATTTGGTGAAGTTAAGAAGAGTCGCCATCAGGTCGCTACTGGTTGCAACTGCCGTGGTGTCATTAGCACACTGCAGCCTAGCCAGCCATGTGTGCAGTAAGGTATGTGCTGAAATTTTGATAACGCGAGGTTGGTTTTGTTTTTCAGTGCGCATTTTGGCGAGTGGTATTTCCGCTGTTTAGACCTAGATTTATTCTGCTAACGTAAGTTCTAAGCTCACTCTACAGTGTAAACATTTCAGCAGAACATGAGCAAGGTTAGCCCCATAAATGTGGCCAATTTACTGGACTACCTCCGTAAACATAGGCCACACTTCCACCATGTACAAAAACATGTCGAACTTTGTCAAATTTTGATTTTCACATTTAGGCTTAGTTTGTAGGGTTTTTTTGCTTGAGAAGCATACTCACCCTCTTTATAGGCTAATCAGAAAGTGCTGCCTTTTCCGGATGTCTATTTTTCATGATATTTTTTATGTTGAAATTTTGATTCGCAAACGTGTGCAAACGAATCTGGAAATTTCACGAAAAATAGACATCTGAAAAAGGCAGCACTTTCTGATTAGCCTACAAAGAGGGTGAGTATGCTTCTTAAGCAAAAAACCTACAAATTCAGCCTAAATGTGAAAATCAAAATTTGACAAAGTTCGACATGTTTTTGTACATGGTGTATGTGTGGACTAATACGGAGGTAGTCCAGTAAATTGGCCACATTTATGGGGCTAGAGCAAGGTATGTAATTTCTTACTTATTTTCCTACAAAAGGTTGCATACAATGGTGTTGAACGACTTCTATCTGCAAAGAGTGATACTAGTGTTTCCTTTTTTTCTGTTTCTGTTCGTTTATTGAAGACGTGCATGTATCTAGGTAAAATTTTAAGTACTAGACACATTTTTGGCGACGCATACATTTAGTATTGTGCGACATTTTTGGGGATGTTATTGTTATACTTTAAAAAAAAAATCGATGTTGGGTGTAATTCAACCAACACTGGGTTAGTCACTATTTCTTTGGGTATTATTCAAGTTTCGGGGTTCTGCAAGCCAAATCAAAATCGAGTGCCCGGCCTCATCGTGAAATTGTGCGCAATTAACAGAGAAATGAGAGTAAATATCATGTGGAGTAGTCTATGTGTTCAGCGTTTATTATCTATTTCTTCACTTTTTGTTTATACACTAATAAGTGATATGAACCAAAAAAAGTCACAGATTAAACAAGTAATGCATGCCTATTTGCCATCAGTTTCTATAGTTTTATTCAGTTCCATTCTTACTTTATTCAATCAAAAGCATACTACAACCAAAGTCTTAATTACAAAAAGAATAACAATAAATTTGGAAACTCACTCGCACATAATGAGGCCGAATAAAAAAAAAAAACATGTTTCTCGTCCGGGTTTTGAAAAAAAGGAGGAAGCGGGGCTTTTTATTTTTTATTTTTTATTTTCTTCAAGATGGCCGCCAGTTTAAAATTTCCTGCAACCGTTGGTGTTTTCACTGTTCAAAGACACTTTTAAAATGAAATACAAGTTGGACAAGAGAACTGAATATATTTACAGTGTCATTTAGAGTTGTATTGGTCTACAATGAACAGTTTTAGATGCATTTGGCTTTTTGGACATTTTGCATTTTTCAAAAATAAAAAATAATAAAAAATCCAGGCGGCCTCCAAAAAGGAAGCGGGCGGGGACGAGAAACATGTTGTTGTTTTTACTTCGCCTTATATATTTTATAAAAAAAATAGCCATACTGTGCTGAAAATTATTTGGAACTGGAATATGTGATTGTCAGTGACATTTTGAGAAACATTAGGTGTGATTTGACATTTCTTGATCCCTCATATAAAATTGTACTATAACAAAAACAGACTTAAAGGCTTGTAGGATCATTTGCTTAAGTTTTGTGAAGTTTTAATTGGGGGGGGGTGTGATTGAGGCAACAACATTACTCAAAACCTGAAGTGGAGCGCATGACAACTGACATTTTGAAGTTTTCAGCTCAGTAGATACTATTGAGAAACACACAAAAGGTATGCACAGTTTCTGGGGTTTCGTAAGGCGAAGTAAAAAAAACACGTTTCTCGTCCCCGCCCACTTCCTTTTTGGAGGCCGCCTGGATTTTTTTATTATTTTTTATTTTTGAAAAATGCAGTAAAAAAACACCGAAAAAGTTCACAAATTCATCGGAAAATAAATTGTAGACCAATACAAGTCTAAATGACACTGTAAATATGTTCAGTTCTCTTGTCCAACTTATCTTTCATTTTAAAAGTGTCTTTGAACAGTGGAAACACCAACAATTACAGGAAATTTTTAAATGGCGGCCATCTTGAATCAAATACAAAACAAAAAACAAAAAGCCCCGCTTCCTCCTTTTTTTTGAAAACCCGGGCAAGAAACCTTCCTTTTTTTTTTATTCAACCTAACATGATTTCATTGCTAATACTAACCACCTTCAATTACTGGTGGTATTTTTTTCCAAAGAACCATTTCAGGTGGAATTTCACAGGGTATTTGGTGCAATGTACCAGTCCTATCGTCACTCTGAGCAATTTTTTCTCATTAAATCAGTAGATGTCTTCCAAGTAATCACAATGATCCTACATGCCTTAATTAATGTGCAAATAGATCTATACAACAAAGGCCAAGTTCGCGCAAGGACTATAGTTGACCAATGGTTAACTAACGTTTGCCCGAACTCTGTCTAGTCAACGGTGGTTGACTACGCTAGTCGACTATTTGGAACCAGCCTACTGGGGTTGGTTGCTTCGCTGGTAACCAATAACCGCGCGCATTCATAACGCTAGCAGAGAGCCAGGATCCAGAAGTTTTGCGATGACATTTTGACCAGCGTTTGACTAGAGACGTTCGCACGTTACTATCAGTGCGCAGGCGTAAGGTACCTCACAAATCAACCACTAGTCGACTAATTGTCCTTGCCCGAACTTGGCCAAAGTTGAAAGCAGGGGAAATTGCATTATAAACAAAATTTACAGATTAGTAATGTATAAGGCAGAGGGCCAGTCTTTAAGCTAATAGTGCTAGCTGCATGTGTATGGCTTAAATTAAGATTGGTTCCTTATAAATCAGAGAGAGGGATCCATGTCGAGAATAAGCCAGGGCCCAATTTCATAGCGCTGCTTAACAGCCTATTTTGTGCTTACCGAGCCTCCATCTATTTCATATGGACCATTAAGCAGTAAGTGCAGCAAAAGCACACTTAATCCCAGAAGAAATCTTTGCTTAAATCAGTGACGTAACAATAGAAACTCCATGCGCGCGCAACCGTTAGCATGAAATAGTGCTTAGGCAGCATGATGATTTTCTGCTACAGTAAGCACAACTTTTCTGCTTACTGTTAAGCAGTGCTATGAAATTGGGCCCAGTTCGGTATCTCGATGAAGTAGTCTATGTCAAAGGTCATTCGGGATAAAATCCCCGTGTGATGATACCATAGATATAGAATAAAGAGACTTTTTATTCTATATCTATGGATGATACACTACGCAGACGCTCATTCTGCTTGTAATTAACACGCGAGCGTCGTGCGTTTGCATGTTCATGCGCCTTCGATGTGCGTTCGATTATCCCGTATGACCTGTGACCTATATCATTGTGCGCATGCGCAGTTGAAATACCAATCTGGCTTATTCCAGGAATACTTTTTTTTTTAATTAAAAAAATATCAAACAACATTGCTATCTCAACCATATTTGTAATAACTCAAGACAACTGGAATAGGTACAAATACTTACATGTACCAGGTACAGGTATTTGCTTAACAGAATGTATTCCATTATTACAGGTGTGCAAGATAAACATGTAATAAGTAAAAAGATTCACGGGACCTTGTACCCATCTGGGCAAGATAACCATGAATCTCATAAGAACAAAACTTATTTATAAGTCATGACAAGGAGTAAGTCACCAAACGCTGAATTCTGAACCCCTCAGATTATAGTCATAAACACTGGATAGGGGCCCAACTTCAGGCTTTCAAGCAGACCCAAACGAGAAAGTAGAACAGTAGGATCAACATTTTCAACAACAAACAGAAAAAGTAAGACTTTGAAGGACAAATCAGGATAAAAGTGGGATTTTTGCGGGCTTTCGGGAGTAGTTTTCGTTGATACGCACCCATTTCATAACAGCATCATAAGCCTCATTTGACAGGTTCTGTACTTACAACACTTGTGCTCCATCCTCAACTAAGCTCTTGGAAGTACAGTTGCAGTACTCCTGCGCCAAAACCCTTCATTGTGCCATTTACGTATGACAGTGTGTAACATCGTTGTGAAAAGTGTTCAATGGGAACTCATTTTTGTTGTGAGACACTGTCGCACAACAAAGTAGGAAAAAAAATAGGAATTTCAAGAAAAAAGTAGAGAAGTAGGAGCAAGGTTTAAAAAAAACAAGGAAAAAGTTGGAAAAGTAGGAATACTTGAAAGCCTGCACACTTTTCTTGCCTGCTACTGCAGTGTATGTACTGGCTATAAAATGTGTGCAAGCGCCACTTGTCTCTTTGCGCTAGGGAGTTTTACAAGAAACAATTTGCTTTCTAACTGCAAGACTGTTTTTGTTTTGTACAGGTTGCACGCATGTGATCCAACATTCAAGGCGACATTACACTTGTAGAACTGTGTGCAAGGTGCTTCGTTTGTAGATAAGATGTTGGAACACATCTAGGCACACGAAAATGAATGCCTTTTGGGGCTGGTGGGGCCCAGAATACATGTTCATGACAAATCATATCATGCGGGAGCACGGCGGCCAGTAAGTTAGTGAAAATTAACTTGATGTTG